ATCATGATAGAAATGTTTAAATCAGAATTATCTTAAGAAAAATATTGGTGTCAGATACAAGAACTCTTAATTAAAAATCTCCTATTAAGCAATTTGTAAACAACTATATAAATGCAATGGACAATGATCAAATATAACTGTTTTCAGTCTGGTCCTATTTAAGGAAAGGGGTGAGACTAGCTGATTTCTTGTAGACCATAAGCATTAATAGGAGCAATAGTGGCATAGTGATTAAACGCTTGACTGCTAACTGAAAGAGTGAGGTTTGAACCCAATAGCTGAAAGATGTGGCAGTACGTTCCTATAAATACTTACAGCCTTGGAAAGCCTAGGAGAACACTTCTATTCTGTTTTTTAGGGTCTCTATGAATTTAAATTGACTCAGTGGCAATGGGTTTGGTATGGGCTTTATAGGCATTAACGGAGTCTCTAGGTGATACAAATGGTGAATGCACTCAATTGCTAAAAGAAAGCTTAGTGGTTCCTGAATATCTGGAGGCATTTGCGAATAAAGACCTAGTGATCTATTTTAAAAAAAGTCAACCATTGAAAATTCTATGGAACACGGTTATACTCTGACACACATGGGGGTCACCATGAGTTGGAATTGACTTGACAGCAACTAGCATTTTTACTCCACTTGCTTGTTAATTTTGTAGTTTTGTTATAGGGAACGTTAAAATGTTCTTTGCTTATTAATCCTTGTAGCCAATTACCATCAACTGGCAAAGAATATAAGAGGATACTATTAATAATTAATAATTAGAAGCTCTAGTGGTGCTGTGGTTAAAGCTCTTGGCTGCTAACCAAAAGTTTGGCTGTTCGAACCCACCAACTGGTCTGTGGGAGAAAGATGAGGCAATCTGCTTCTGTAAAGATTTACAGACTCAGAAATCCTACGGGGCAGTTCTGTTCTGTTCAGTAGTGTCACTATGGGTCAATGGCAATTTTTTTTTTTTAATAGTTACCCAAGACAAAGGCATAAATCAGGACTGTTTCTGCTAATCCAGGATGTCACCTAATTATGAATCCCCTTCCACAAGGTAATGCCAGAATAAAATCATTACCAGTAAGATCTTGAATTGTAACCAGCTTCTCTGTACAACCGAGGTCAAATCACTTAGTTGGAGTAGGGAAATATAGAAAGTAGAGGACTGTGGAAACCTGGGAGATTATGGTACATTGAACTGAAGGACACATTTTCAGGCAGGAAAGGCAGAATAAGTGTTTCCAGGTTGCTCTGGGGTGATGTATGAAATATGTGCCTGAACTGTAGTCTGCTGAGAAGCTATAGTACCAGACATATCAGACCGGTTTGTCAAGTGTATAGATGAGTGACTGTGAATAAAAGCTCCAGGCCAATGTCAAGTCTACCAAATAGAGTTGCAAATAGCTCCTGGTTCTGCAAGCAAAGGCTATAGACATAAATCAAAGAGCAATCTTCCAATGTCTACTGTGTGGGAAGGACTGGCCACTTGTCACGCTTCAGTGTTATCAGCCACAGTTTCACACATAGGGAAAAATTACAGTTAGAGGTGTTATCTAAGAGTTATGACAGTGCTGTAGGCTGGGTTCTCTAGAGGAGCAAAACCAGTGAAGTGTGTGTGTGTGTGTGTGTGTGTGTGTATGTGTCTATGCACAAAGGGATTTACTTCAAGGAAATGGGTTATGCAGTTTGGGCTGGCAAGTCCCAAATTTGTGGGTCAGGCATCAGGCTAGAGACTTCTCCTGACTTCCAAGTTTACAAGGGCTGACAAACCCACAATTGGCAGGTCCAGTGACAGGCAGCTGTCTCATGTCCCAAGAACCAGTGGTCAGAGGATGATGAGTTGGAATCAAGACCTAGAGAAGAGAGTAAACTTTCCCAGAATATCTGTCTGTCTGCTGTCTGCTGCTGTCTGTCTGTCTATCTATCTATCTATCTATCTATCCATCCATCCATCCATCCATCTGTCCAGGGTATAGGATACACCTCCAAGAAAACTCCCTCTTCGATTGGCTGCTCACATCAGATTGCAAATGGAAGATAATTGCATAATACCTGCTAAACCACTGAGAATCATGGCATAGGCAAGTTGACACATAACCTTAACAATCACAGATGGCAAGGGGAGAACATTGATGAGGTGATGGAGAGGATTATGCACAGTCCATACCTAGAGATAAAATTTGCTTGCCATTTATATCTACTTCCAGGATCATAGGGAATCACATAAAAAATTTTCCCTTTGAGGTATTCTTTCTCAGGATATATAAAAAAATACCAGTTTTCAGCATATGTCTAACACCTGTTCATGTAAGAGCATCACAGTTTTATATCCCTGCCAAGGAGAGAAACTTAAAGAGATTTCACCAAACTGGCTCCTTGGGGTAAATCAATATTCACAGGACCACATTATTAGGATGGTTTCAAATTCTGAATAATGTAACTTAGCAGCATTTGGGGGCTTTCCTGGGAAAGCCTTAGACAGGAAGTCAAAAATAGGGAATCTGTCATAGTCTTGCCATCAACTCTCTTCAGAACTAATGTGAAGTTCTGGGCCAGGAATTTCACATACTGATGGATTTGCCCCTCCATGACAGACAGCAGACTTTGTAACTGAGGTATCATTGGCTCTTTTGATGGATCTGCCACAATTTTTACAGTGTCAGGCTTCTTAGTAGAGACAGATTTTTTATGGAGATACTTATAAAGGATTAAAATAGAGGACTTTTTTTCCCCCCTATGAGACCAAGAAGCATAGTGCCTAAGGCACTTGACTGCTTACCAGAAGGCTGGGAGTTCAAACCCACCAACCACTCCTTGGAAGGAAGGTTGGGCAATCTACTTCCGTAGTGATATCCCCTCAGAAACCCAAGGAGGGGTCGCTATGAGTCGGGTCCAACTCGATGGCACATAACAACAACAACAAATGAGACCAAGAAGCACAAAATAGATATTTATGTCTTCTAGTTTATTTATTTTCAGCTGTTGTCTCCTTTTAAAACATATAATTTCCCCCTGAAAGGAAATGGTGTCAAGTGTTGGCATTGGTTTTATATTTTGCAAGACCATGAACAGAATGGGCCTAACACACTCTTTCATTGACTGTAAATCCATTTTCATTATGTGTTATTAATTTATTGTATAAAGTTCTATATTATTAATTCACAAAATAATTCTGGTACTTGATTATTCACTGAGGCCTCTGATACAATGAATACATTTAAAAACAGTCAGGTAATTGTTTTAATATTTTTTTAAACTAAACAACAGTAGACACCGAAGCCAAAACATTGTTATTGCCATGGTATTAATCCAGCCTTGAAAAAACTATAAATCTCACAATTAGTTTACAATTGTTTTTCAGTGCAGCCTTTTCTTAATACATACATAAAAATGATTTAAATAAGTAACTATTTTCTAACTTCAGGTAAAACGATTTCTTGTTATGGAGAAGCAGCAATATTTGAAGATATTGAAGATTAACTTTATGATATTTTACTTCCTATTCTGAGAAAAGTGTAGGGCAGTACTCTACAATTTCTAAATCATGTTATTTCCAGAAAGGAGAATCTGTCTGAGAACTGTTCAGTCCCCCTTGCCAAATAAATATACAAACGCATGCAGTTTTGTACATTGCAGAATATAATAGTGGCACTTCAAGTGAGGATAGAGTCCTAACCTTCCGTGGTAAAAGAAATGCAAATGTGCTTAGTTGGCAGTGTTATCCGTTCAGCTTGGGTTTGGGTTATTTTGGCTTCATTTTGTTCTATCTGTATGTTTCCCACTTACACACTTTTGACAATTGCTTGGCAGTTTGAAGTTTTAATTTTGGTTTCAGCATCTCAAACAAACAAACAAACAAATAAATAAATAAAAACTTTACACCAAACCCCTCATCATAGAGTTGATTCTGACTCATGGAAATCTCATTTGTTACATAGTAGAACTATGTTCCATAGGGTTTTGTTCAGTGTAATATTTTATGAAAGCAGATCACCTGGCCTTTCTTCTGTGGTGCTGTTAAATGGGTTTGAACCACTAACCTTTATATTAGCATCCTATCTGTTTGTGTCACCCAGGGACTTTTTAATGTCTTGGACTTCTATTTTAACAGATTTTTAAATTATTTAATTTTTTTGTGTCACATTCTTTTACTCACTGGTAAGTTTAGATCTGAGAGACAAGCCCTTCTGAGATCAGATCAATCTTTGATGATCCCTGAGTGTTACACCAAAATGATGCAATAGTCAGGCTTTCTCAAAGGATAGCAGCAAACATGTCATGGCTTGCTTCACATGATTATAGCCTCCTAAGAGATCATTTCAAACCTGGGCGTTCCAGAGTGCAGAACACAGGGTTGGCTCTTTGGTGGAATTGTAAATAGCAGTCAACTGTTTAATGGCAGTTTTATGGGCTCATCTAATTCTAAAACCAGATTGCTCTCTGGGCACTTGAGATAAATCTTCTCTCACTCTCTTGAATTGTTCAACACATAGGTTAATTTCTCACTATTGATTTTCTCCACTATGCATCTTGAATGCATTAAAATCTCTTGACCTATACAAAATATCTCTGTGACTGTCAGTTTAAAAAAATAGCTCTTCAAAAGAATGCTTGAAAAATCAGTAAAGATAACTAAATAACTCTTCCTCAACGATTAGTAGGGCAGTTTAACTGGACATTTTGATTAGATTTCAAGGAGAGAACAAAATCATGAACATTTTCAAGAGTAAGTTTCATCTATTAAAGTTTCTGAAAGAGAATTGTGCCTCTTGTAGGCATCCCCAAGGAGACAGAATGTAAATCTCAATTATAAGCAGAACTACCCTGGGTAACAGAGAGAGGCAATGCAACATCATAGAGAAAGCATTAGACTAGCTGTCTGAAGAGTCATCTACCCTGCCACAAGTTAGGCCGACTCTCTAGGCTTTTGTTATTCACCTGCAAAAACCTGGGGATTGGATTCTAAGAACCTTTCCAGTTCTAATATTCAGTGGTTCTGTAGCTGAGAGGATATATAAATTTTTATTAACAGGACAATCATATTAAAAAAAAAAATCAAGAGCAAAGTGAAAATTGTTTTCTACTTGAAAAATTTGAGAAATGTGTAATGAATATGATTCTTTCCTCCAAAGACTCATCTTGACATCTCCATCTCCTCCCCTGACACTATCATTACTGGAAAGTAAAAAACTACTTTAAGGATTAAATGTTCCATTTATTTTTCTAATCATTCCTTTGTTCACCTCTGAAATATTGTCCCAGTAATTGAAAATGGTGTCTGAAACACTTTATTAATGGAAATTCCTTCTATGTGCTTCCAAATAAAGCAGCAATGATGTCATTAACATCAGTAATATAAAACAAACAAACAAGAAACCAACCAACCAAACAAACCACTTCCAACTCCCCAACCCTGATGAAACAGAATTCAAGTAAATCAAGCCATTTCACACGCCACTTGGAGTGTAGATTTATTTGGGTTTAAGAATCTCCTAAGCAAATTACATCAATCTCACTCCATTTCCTTTCTTAATAAAATTTATGGCTGGACAAACATCAAACTCTTAAATTTTAAAAAATAATAGAAAAGTAAAAATAGATTTTCTAGAGAAATCTTTCTCTTACACATTATACGGTTTTGCTGCTTCTGTGAAATCTTTCTCTTTGGAGGAACTTGGTAGCATAGTTTTTTTTTTTTTTAATTTATTTAACTGGATTCATACAAGGGCACTGAATTAGAATTTTAGCTGATTTATGGAGCATGAACTTTATAAACAATAAGTTACCTCTGCTGTAAAAGAAAAAAAAGAGATAAATGTAAATGAAAGAATGGGAACACCAAAAGTCCATTTCATGATGTAGTTTAAGTCTTAACATCTTAAATCCTTATCACCCCCTTGTTTCAAAGTAAAAGAACACAGAATGGTATGAGCACTCTAAAATCATCTGCAGCACTTTTAAGGGTTAAACCTGCTTAACCCATTCTTAGTCAGAGAATGGCACCAAAGAGTACAGCTCACCCCTTGTGTCTAGTTCTAAACCTGTGGTATCCGTAGGCTGTCAGAGCAGTCATGCACTCTATTTCCACCCCCCTCCCACCCAATTAATAGGATCCATTCATAGCTACTCACTACTGCAGGATTTGACCTGAGAAATGCTAGGATTTATTAACTCAGCAGTTGTTTTGAAAAGTCTCTAAATAATCTTTGCCCTTGGCCAGCAAGGGAACTGCTAGTCTCAAGCTCTCAGAAGCAGCTGGTGAGGTTCTCAGCCAAGTTCTTCAAATGCAGGAAGTTCTTCAGGACAACCTACTTAAATATGGCCTTTATACATCTTCAAACCAGGCTTCCTGGATCTAGGAAATGATATTCCTGACTCCTTTGACCCAGATGCCGGCCAAAATTTAGTTTGTAATCTGTAGGTAATCACTCTTTCTTTCTTCTTCTTCCTTTCTAGGAGCTGGTATGGTGGTTAAATTTTTCTAAAACAGTCATATTCCTATGTTCAAAAATCCACTGCTGAGTCTCAGATAGAGGGTCACATCTGGCCATGAAAATTTTCTTCTCTGCGGGATTACAATCCATGCAGCTGTTGCTCACAGGATGGAACAATGTTTTGTCCTGGAGGGATCAGAAAGAAAAGACTGACATAATACATGGTGAATGGCTAGAAACCAAAATAGACAGAGGAAGTAAAATATTCCTGTTTGTATTTCAATACTTACTCATGCTGTAAAAAATAGACCAGCTCCCAAATCAAACAATAGCAGGCTGAGTTGCCAACATGGAACATGCTTTCCTAGTACCCACTGGCACTCTGTAGAGCCTCCAAGCAGGTTCAATTAGAGACAAAAATATTCATTCATTCATTCATTTTAAAATCACTTATTGATTCCTCATTGTGTGGTAAGTGTTTTAGCACATGCTTGGGTTTTGAAGATAGTAAGGGTATGGTGGCTTTTGTAAAGTGGCAAATAATCTAGCTATTTGAGGACAGGCACATACACAAAATAACTATAATTTAGCTCATAATAAACAACAATAACCACACACACACACACACACACACACACACACAAAATACAAGAAGAGTCATAATTTCCCTATTCTCATATTGAGCCTTTGGGGGAAAGGAAAATGCAAAAGAAATAGGAACCAAACATGTTAGGTGTTCATCTGTCTTACTGAGGCGAATTGGGGGTGTGAACAAGTATCACAATATCTGTATGTAAAAATTCAAATTTGTTAGCTCTTGAGATCTGTCCCTTCTCAATCGTTTTACTCCCATTATAGGCCTTCTTCCTGAGGTGCAATTTCATTGCTTTCTGTAAAATGAAGAAGGAAACGTTCAGTTTTTTTTTTTTTTTAAAAAAAAAACCAAGCCCCTTGTTATTGTTGTTAGTTGCCATCCAGTCAATGGCGACCCCATGTTTGTAGAGTAGAACCACTCCGTAGTGTTTCCAAGGCTATTACCTTTTGGAAGCAGATCCCTAGGTATGTAATAAAGACAGAGCTCTGTAAATGAAAGGTACCATCAGGACACAAAGCTTAAGTAGTAAGCAATCTTGCTACCTGAATACACTCTATTAACACACACTGTTTTATTGTGCAAGTAGCAAAAAGGAACTAAATGCTAAGAAAAAAAAGACCTTTCCTTAATTAGTGACTAAATTTTATCTCTTAAAATGTCTAAGCTTTTTTTAAAAAAATCCATTTTTCACAATATTGTGAATTTCATAGAATTGTGAAAAATAATTTTCCCCATAAAATGTGAAAGCGTCCCCAAATCACTGCTTACATTTCAGAAACAACCTATGTTTTATTCTTTAGCTTAGGAAATGTTTAGAGGTTCTGATTATTTTCTTTAACTGAAGAATACTAAACTTACAATGCTTTTAGACTTAAGAGTTTCTCAGCCACTCTGTGTAAACATTTATAGTTTGCTCCTGGTTTTTTAAAACTCCATCAGCCAATATTTAATGTCCTTTCAGGATCCGGATGTTGCATAGTTAGGCACTGTAAGAAGGAAGGAAGAATAAGGAAGGAGAAAGGCAATCTGCCTGCGATTTCATTTGCGTGTTTCTATTTTCAGGGTAAATGCGTCACACAAAGGCTCACTGTTCTCTTCTGCTATCTTTAAAGGGAAAATTTCCTGAGAGTATTGTGGTTTTTACTCTCCTTACACAGAGAGGGCATATCCTAGATTCTTTCTTGAGTTGTTAACTCGTGGTGACCCCATGTGTGTCAGAGTAGTTTTGTCCTAACCCGCTGCTTCACTCACTCCACTGGTGTTTGACCCCAAGGGAAGCCCTGAGGAACTCTCTCCTATGACACTGAGGTGGAGATGGGCCGGCAGGGAACTCTCTCCTATGCTGAGGTGGAGGTGTGCTAGTGGGGTGGGGGGTAAGGGGTGGCAGATTCTAGGAGGAAGAAGTATGTGCTCTTCCGCTTACCCCACACATGCTGGAGTCATAGATGCTTGCTATGCCAGACCCTTCTGACAGTCACCACGACTCCTTGGGCAGCGTCTCTTCCACCATCTTCCTTCCTCTCTTTCTTCTCCATATCCTTTACTCTCCATATCCCATCACCAGCTTCCACTGGTTTAGCCACCAAAACCAGTTGGCATTGAATTGATTCTGACCCATGGTGACTGCATGTTTGCAAGAGTAGAACTGTGCTCCGTAGGGTTTTCAATGGCTGATTTTTCAGAAGTAAATCATTAGAGACTTTCTTCTGAGATGCCTCTGGGTAGACTTGAACCTAGAACCTTTAACTCAGCACTGACATATCAACTGTTTGCACCACCCAGGGACTCTGGTTTAGTCACAGGGGCTTAATATATTTAGATCAGTTTCTCACAAAGCATTCTTAAACTGTTCTAGTTCTCAGAATTCTATGTAACCAGTTAAATTCTAATTCATTTTGTTTGACATGTATTTATCTCCTTTTCTCCTCCTAACTCTTTGCATTTCTTCCTATGATTACTTTTATCAGTAGTTCAAGCAGGGGCCTTCGGAAGTTTCTCTTTCAAAACACAAATTTCCATGAAGGCTGAAAAACTGAGAATAGAAAAGGAGTATAACGTGTTTCTATTCTCTTTCCTTTGCCAGCTTTGTGTACCTTAGTGCAAATGCGAAAGCCAAATTGGATTTTCTGAACATTATTTTTGAACTATAGCAGCTCTGGTGGCATAGTGCCTAAAGCATTTGAGCGCTAACCAGAAGGCTGGCCATTCAAACCCACCAGCAACTCCTCAGAAGGAAGATTGGGCAATCCACTTCCATAGAGATATGGTGATTGTATTTTTCCAAGTCCCAGATTGGAACACATGCTCTTACGAGTTCAAGTATACTTGTGGGTTAACCAAGCAAGATATGCAAATTCAGTACCAACCTGGAAAATCCAGGTTATGTTTTCTCTAATTGTACTTCATATTTTCATAAAAATTGAAGAACGGATTTCCCTAAACCTATTCATCAACAAAATGAGGGGGTGGATTAGATAAATCTCTAAGGTCTCTTCCAGCCCTAAAATTTAATGAACATTTTATTCCAAAAGCCACTGGCAACAGAAAAAAGATGGGATGTTAAATTAGAAACTATCAACAAGGTTCAGTGGATCAACAGATTGATTGTTCCCTGTATACAGATTGAGCTCTGCTCACCCCTGTCTTTGAAACAACAAGGAAGTCCCAGAGGTCAGGGGTATATGAACCACTAAGCAGGGTATGCAATGGCTTACAGGAAGCAAGATATGCATGGGCTTAATTACACACAGGCTTCAGTGTTTACTGTAGTGAAACCCAGGTGAAATTGTGCACTACAGATTAGTAAGTAAACATAATTAAGCACATGTGTACTTTGCTTATTGGGTCAGCAGACTCTTACAGAGGTGAAGTTTATGGGAGCATCTTCAGCTTCACCAGTTTTTACTTTTGACCTTGGTGACTATAAAGAGGCCGTCTCTATATCTCTACTCAGCCAAGCTTTTAGATTACTAACTGTCTTAAAAAAAAAAAAAAAGATTTTTTATTTTTTATTTTTTTTGTTGTTTTTAGCTACCTGGGCATTCCACAGCACCACTGTTGATGCCACTTGTAATGTCCTGAGGGTGGTGGCTAACAACATTGCAACCCAGAGAATGGGCAGTCTCTAGGATTTCTTTAATAGTTACAGACAGTTCTCTGGCTAAAGATCAGTGTCTCATCTGTCAGGTAATTTTGACAATCTCACTAAAAGTGATCTTTCCATTGTGCTCAATATTTTTCTGCTTCTTCCTATCTCTGGACGATGGTTCCTTGTGGGCTTTGATCATCAGGGCAGAAGCAGAGGCCCTTAATCTGGGCTTGTCTATTCTGAATGATCAGTTTCACCATAACCCTTAGTCCCTTCCAGTTGCCTTGGCATATTCATCACCAACTATGTTTGGAGGCAGACCCAGGGGGTCAATCTTGAGGGCCAGAGGAGACGTGGTGCACCTCAGGTACATGACTTTGATCTCACTGGGTGGAACTTAGGCAGCATTGCTGAGGTGGCTGTTGTTGGATGAACCCAGATACAGGCTAACTGAAGAAAGTTACACCTAGACCTCCTCTGAGCCAAAAGATGAAAAATGTCTTTTCTGAGGCTTTTTGGTTGGAATTAAGTCAGTGAACCAAAAATTATTCCCTAAATGTGTCTCTTGTTCAATATAGAAGGCAGTACTTCACTCCTCTGCCTTTTAATCTTATCGGTCATGTTACAGAACCAAGTAGTTTTTCCTTTGGAATAGACTTCTAAGTGCTTTGACAAGTTTGTTGTTCCATAACAGTCCACTTAAAGGAAGATTGGAAGACATTCTTTCTTTTCTTCTAACTAGATTATTCTTTGTTCAGTCTCGAGGGAAGGCATATCATATGCTCTGGATGTTTAAAATATAATGCAGCAAATTGGGCCTCTTTTTCTACCTCTCTAACATTCCCTGGCTTCATCTTCTCTCCCCCTCTCTTCTTCCTTTTTTAAAAATGCTTAAGAAAATCCTTTGAGCAGGAAATGTAAAAGTTCAGATCCAGGAGTAAGGAACTGGCCTTCATAATCAAATGAGGTCAGGCTAAATGACTTCTGTTGCCAGCCAATCAGTCCACACAGTGAAAGTATGTGTAGGACTTCTCAGGTATTAAAAGGGACACAGCTTCAAAGCAGGCCTGTGGACCTGTGTGACATATTGTGATATTCTGAGGTCTATACTAAACTGTATTAGGTTCTCTGGTGGTGTAGTAGGTAAAGCATTTAGCTACTTAACAGAAAGAAGTTTGGTGGTTCAAACCCATCAGCTGCTCCAAGGGAGGAAGATGAGACAATCTATTTCCATAAAGATTTACAGGCTTGGAAACACAATGGGAAGTGCTATGAATCAGAATTGATTTGATAGTAGTGGTTATTTTATTTTATTTTAGGTTTATACTTATAAGGGAGTCCCTGGGTGGTGCAAATGATTAATGTGCTAAGCTGCTAACTGAAAGGTTGGCAATTCAAATCAGCCCAGAGGTGCCTTGAAAGAAAGGCTTGGCAGTCTACTTCCACAAACATCTGTCATATGGCATATACAGTTCCACTCTGGCATGTACGGTATTGCTGAGA